ACACACACACACACACACACACACACACACACACACACACACACACATCCCCCAAAAGAAGGAGGAGGAAGAGGAGAAGGACAGTTTGGTCTGGGGTTTAAACAGCAGCGTTTGAGATCTTTGTCATCATCACCCATGTCTTTTCCTTAGATACAAACGCCAAGAAAGGAAACCAGGACAAAGTGACAGCAGTGACTAAGTCAAGCGAGGCTTTTACTAATGTGGTCCTAGGAAGTCTTCCAGAAAAGTCCATTCTGGGAAATGGGGCCGGGAGGACAGTGTGTCCAAGCCACTTGTTGTTGCAACAGTGGCCTCACTGTCCAGTGTGAACACTGACACAGAAGTTTCCACACGAGCATCCTCAGGCTCGCTTCCCTCGGGGCTGCAGTCCCTGGCCAGTAGTCACAAGGCAGAGAAGCGGCATCTGAGAGACTGGGGTCTCACCCAGCAGCACAGCTGGTTATTTTCTTTTCTCCAGTGAAGCTGACCTTGGCCTCATCACTTCTCACTCTGCATGGCTGGCTATTATTTATTATTGTTCTAATCACCCAATTTTTCTCTTTTTAAAGAAAAACGCTAAAAATAAATGAGCCTTAAAACAATGATGGGGATATAATATCAGAATACATCTCATTCTGAGGTGTCCACACTGTTTGTGTGTGTACCACAGACTGGTGACTGTGGAGGTGTCCACACTGTGTACCACAGACTGTGACTGTGGAGGTGTCCACACTGTGTGCCACAGACTGGTGACTGTGGAGGTGTCCACACTGTGTACCACAGACTGTGACCGTGGAAGTGTCCACACTGTGTACCACAGACTGTGACCGTGGAGGTGTCCACACTGTGTGCCACAGACTGTGACTGTGGAGGTGTCCAGACTGTGTGCCACAGACTGACTGTGGAGGTGTCCACCCTGTGTGTGCCACAGACTGTGACCGTGGAGGTGTCCACACTGTGTACCATAGACTGTGACTGTGGAGGTGTCCACACTGTGTACCACAAACAGTGACCGTGGAGGTGTCCACACTGTGTACCACAGACTGTGACCGTGGAGATGTCCACACTGTGTGTACCACAGACTGGGACAGAAACTGATGTGGCAAGCGAGGAGAAAGTGCCTGGGCCACCAGAGTGACACAGTGACACTGCTCCGTTCATGTTCCATCACTGGCAGAGTTGTCTGAGACGCTGCGCCTTTGGAGCTTTAGGGAAGTCCTCAGTTTTCATTCCCCTTGTGAATAACACATGGCCAGCAGAAGCCTTAACGGTGATTTAGAGCAAATGAGAGTCATTTGCGGTTAGATAGACGTCAGCTGCCAGCTTTCTGAGGTTTCAAAATCTACAAGTTTGAACCAAAGCCAGGCCCTTGCAAAATGGTGGGTTTTGATTTTGTTTCTCACTTCCTAGCTCCTTCCAATCACCCGCTTCTTCTTCTGGGTGCCCCTGCCCTCAGACCTTCAATATGCCAATACTCCCCACCCACGGCAGCATAGCTAAATGGCAGATAACATTAACTGAATGTTTGTGAAGAGTTGCACACATTCACATGCACGCACACACACCCACATACACACACAAATACACCCACACACACTTGCACACATACACAGGCACACACATGAAAATTTCCTTCATGACAGTTCCCCATTTTTAAAAATGAGGCAAAGTTACTTAAGTTATTTACCCTTAAGTCATCACAATATAAGAGAAATAACACATGAATTCATGTTAGCCCAGTAATTCTCACATCATTGCATACACTGTGGTTACCCACCACCTTCCATATGAGCCTCATATGAATCTCTATCAGTTTTCCATTTCTTCTCATATACAAACCTTCCCTATAGTAGTTTTGCAAAGTGTAGACCCATAACCATATTAGCATCACCTGGAATTACAAATTCTTGGGTCTAACCCTGACCTTTCTGAATCAAAAAGTCTACAGGTAGAGCTTGCTTTCCAAAGAAGCTCCACACACCAAAGCGGGAAGCCAGCAAGTTAAAGTGGTCAGACTATCACGAAGTGATTTCTTCTGTTCTATATGAGAAAACACTTAAAATCCAGTCAGTTAGGCTCACCTGGAATTTTTGCCTATGGTGACAATAATTTCTGCAGTGTTCTGTCTTCTAGATCACACCATCCCCCCCCCTTTTCAAGTTAGGCAGCACAAATCCATGCAGTGGCATGGCCCTCTTCTGTGTGACCTGCAATTCTGTCACCATGCAAAGGTTTTGTCACATTCATCCAGCAGATGAGCTCATTCGATTTGCATCGACGTCCCAAAGAATAAATTACTTCAAAATAAGGAACCTTGAAAATAAGGCCCTCCAAAGAAAAGTTTAGATGGAGGCAAAGTAAAGTAGGGATAGAATGGGAAGGAGGGCGGGGAAATAGACACTAGATTTGGGGAAGGGAAACTAAGATTTCAAAATAGATTCAGTTCTGTGAATGAATGAATGAATGAATGAATGAATGAATGAATGGGTATGAAGAATAAGAAGGAAAACTGCGAAATAGTTTAAAATTTTAAAAGACTACCCCAATAGAAAAGTGGGAAATTCTTAAATGAATAAAATCAGTTAATAAAAATGCACATTGTTGAAGTAAAATGTATCTAACATAGTTTCCCAGTTTAACTATTTTAAGTGTACAATTCGGTTGTATTAGTTGTATTGACATTGTTGTGAAACCATCTCTATAACCTACCTCCAGGATTTTACATTTTGAAATTTTAGAGGTCAAATTTAACAAATGAATGAAAGAGACCAAGTTTTGCCTAAAGTCTAATGCCGAAGGTAAAGCAAAATCCCGTGTACGCTAGCTTTCACGCAGTGATCTCACTGCACAAGTTGCTGTGAGGTGAATGGAATGAGTCCCCCATAGGCTCACACATTTGAGCACTTGGTACGCACTGCTTGGAAAGATTCTAAAACTTCTAAAAGGTAGAGCCTTGATGTAGATGCAATGTGGCCAGCAAGCCTCACGCGTCTGCCCCCGCACCCTCCCCACCATGATGGTATGTTTCTCCTTAGCACTGAAGGCCAGAACAAACGCTTTCTTTCTTAAGCTACTTTAGTGACAAATAAAATAACCAAGACACAAGTGTCTCCCGAACTTCAGTGTGAGTGACAATCACATGGAAGTCTAACTAACCACAAATTTCTAGGCCCCTGCTGCTTCTAGAGTGGGGCCTGAGAATCAGCATGTCAAACGAGATGCTAATGAGACCACACTTTGAGAATCATTAGCCTCAGAGAAGTGGCTCTGGGACCAGAAACAAATTAGGTCTATAACTTCCTCTATTTTTATCCCAAATTTCAACATAGCCTCTTCATTAGATGCTCTGATGGCCTATCATCCTTGTAATAAAGTGAGAGACACTTTGCAAACCCCCACTCCATGAAAAACTGCCTTAAATTCTGTCTTTTGGTTTCTCCAAGTTGATTCACAGCTCTGGATTTGAAGATTCCCCCAGTGGATACATCTAAAACAAATCAGTCAAACTCAACCATCTTTCATAAAATGCCAGATCCTCGAGTGAGGGCAGCATGCCCTCAGGAAACAGTTCCTTCCTTCCAGGGGCTCCATGATAGTTGCCTTACCTGGATGCCCAGGAAACAATGCCCAGGCAGGAAAGGCACCTGCTGACATGAGCAAAGGGTTTAGAAGGATTTAAGCAGTTCTTAGTCCAAATGGGCAGCTTCTTTGGTTCCCCCAGGTAAGAGGCTGTGAAGGAGTCTTGGTACTGGTTGGAGTGCAAAGGCTGAAGACTCATCCAGACCATGACAGGCACTTGGGGATTGAAGTTTCATTCACTGGAGGCCTCAGCAACATTGACCTATGGGATGAGGGAGTAGAGATGTCATGGATGGATGTTATAGTTCGGCTCCTGAATGTCCCCATGAGCCCCATGCCTTGAAGCTCTGGTCACTGTCAAGTGGGCAGTGGCACCTGTCAGAGGCAAACTCTCGTGGAAAGAGGTTAATTCACTGAGGATGCATCAATGAAGGGGCTCTGGGTCTGAGCCCTTCTTAACCCCTAGCCTTCATGAAGCAAGCAGCCTCCTTTGGAACATGTTCCCACCATGGCATAATATGTTAGCGCCTACCCAGGACATCAGAACCAAGTGACCATGGGCTGAAATTTCTGAATAATGAGCCTATATAGACCTTTCTTTAGGTTGTCTACCTCAGGTATGTGTGCCAATAACAGAAAGCTGCAAATGCAATGTCTGTCGATCTAGTTTTTAATTTTAGGATAATGGGGGGACATGTAGGGCCTATTTGTGGGAGCAGTCGGGGTCTGGGGTGGAAATCTGCATAGCAGAACACAGATGAGAGAAGCATGAGGTGTGAGTGCAGGCACATGGTGGTACAGGAATAAACAGAGTACACCGAGAAGATGCAGAAGGTACCTATGTAGGGCCCAGGAGAACCCTGTTCTATGTGGCTGCACCCTCCTTTTTTCTAGAAGAGATAGAAATTTAGATTTTGTATGAAGTATTTGAATATTCTGCTAAATGCCCCCATTTTTTAACCTGTGCTGGCCAAATACACATTCTAAGAGCTCAGTGGCCTCCCAAGTTTTCAGTTTGCAATCTCTGCACAAACAGATTATTTGTTAAATCCCACAAAAAGAAAGATCAGGCCACCGAAGACAAAGAAGATGTGATAGACCCAGGAGGGAGAAGGAAGATGGTCTGGAGAAGAAAGAGTGTGGGGAAGAAAGAAGGTTGTTTGACCAAGAACTGAACACAGCAGCAGCAGAGCCTGTCCCCATGTCTCAAATGTGCCAGATAATTGTGCCACCTACTTCCCAGAGCCTGTGGGGTATCCATGCTCACAGCTGCACCCTAAATATAGCTTTCACTCTGATAACTGAGACACTGCTTGGGGTCTATTATCTGACCTGCTTATGGCAAAATTCCAAGACTCGGAGACTCCAGAGCTGGTCAAGAAGGGACCGCCAAGCCCTGCTTTTGGAGTCCTGGCTTTTAGGACTAGTGTTTCTGAACCTAACATGCAGTAGACATGGCTACCCCTGATGAGACTAATAGAGGCACCAAGGACTGGGTCACCACACAACAAACACATATTGGAGCATCAATTCTGTACTTATTTTATACTTTTAACTCTATTTAATTTTCTGTAAGCAATTCCCATTTAATAGAACAAAAAAAAAAAAAGAAAAAAAAAAGTCAGATAACTTTTCTGGGTCCCTACAGCCAGAAAGTGGAAATGCTGAAATTTTTACCTGAGTCTCCTTATGTTCCTTCTCTACATATTAGCTTGTTGTTGGAGCTAAATCAACTTGAATTACCTCCATACTAGTCTAGCAATAAACTTTGGTAGTCTAGCAATATAATATACTAGAGCAAAACAAATACAAAGTAAGGGCATTGGAGGCAGACTGGGGTGAGTCTCAGATTCACCACTTGCTAGCATGCAAGCTGACTGGCCTTCTGCTTTACGCCCATCAGTCCCCCCATCTGAGGCACAGAGGCGGCATTGCCCTGGGAAATGCCAGGAAGAACTCATTAGCAACACATCAAAAAAGTCTATCCCAGTGCCTGGCACAGGTAAGGCATCCTACAAACTGACTAGGCAATTTACAAAATATGCTAGTCACTTGGCAAGGTGCCATAGGTAGGCAGCATTTGATGCAGCTTCCCCCAAACCCAGAAAAATGACAAGGCTTTGCTTTTGCCCCAGCCTTGAGACTCCTTGTATTTATCAACCCCAAGAGTGTATTTTGCCAAGCATATTAATTTCATATCCATCGGGACTGAGTTCACAAAATCTTTCGGTTAAGTCAAATTAACCAGTCTTTCTACAGAACCTGCCAGAGAATTTATAACATTAAGATACTTTGTGATGTTCCAAAGAGAGCACGGAATACTCAGCTTTCCCAAAATTGATTTCACATCACTGCACCAGATCTGCTGATTGACCATGGCTGCCCCACAACATTCCACCACACGGACCTTTCTAGTGCTCCCCCTTTCCTTCCTGCATAAAAGCATCCATTATCTCTAATGATGGTGAAATTTGTATCTACATCATAGAGCTCCTGTCTAAAGCTCTTATGGAATTACCACCAGAGTTGAGAAAGTTGTGTCCGGCGTGTAGAGGGAGCTAATAGGTGGGTACAGCCATCTACAGGTGATCTGTGGTACTGCACAACAAGGGCCGAGAAGCACTACCTGATGGAGAAGGATGACTTAGAATGCCTAGGAACATTCTTATCAAGATGGAGTTCAAGGACAAGAGCGAGGTTGACCTTGTGTTCTTGTTTTGGTATAGGTGGATGAGACACAATCTTGTTCTAGACATTTCTTCAGGAGTCTTTACGCATTAAGTTATATACAAGTGAGCCCAATCGTGTTTTCTATCGGTGACAATTTTGTTGAATTATAAGATGACAGCTTTTCCATGACAACAAGGGGTACTCAATTGCTTACAGAGAGAGAAACAGAAACAGAGAGAGAGATGGAGAGAGACAGAGAAAGAGAGAGAGATTTCCATTATGATGATTAAAGCCTCACGGTGTTTTCCTATAACCTGGTTGGGGTTTTGTGTCTTTTGAAACCTACACCTCTCTTCAATAGAGTTCAGGTAAGAGCACTGAGGTCACATGAATACCATATTCTGTACCACATTTTTGTGATAAAACCAAGCAGAGGGCATGTTATTTTGCTTGTACCGGGTTGCACAGATGTGTTTAGGTTACTGAGGGAGGTTTTAGAACTTTCCGGGTCGGCAAGGGAAGAGCGTAGCGTGGTGTGACAGATCACTCCTCCTTCTCCTAACGCCCTGCACTAGATTCCAGAGGCATGGATCCAAGCATAGGGTGGGTGCCATGGGAAACCTGCGAAGACTACAGACAAGTCCCTACTACCTAATCAGAGTGGCGGCAGCATTTCCTAGCACAAAAAAAAATCTGAAAGTTCATCCTGTAAGGAACTGGTTGAAAGGTCTTTACAGATGACAAATAGAATTTCCCAGGGAGGCATGGGGCTTTGTGACATTGAGTTAAGAAGGGTGGCTTACGGAAGTAGACATAGTTTGCCTTTTCCAGTAACGTCGAAAGGTAGACCAATGCCTCACGAATGCTTCCTGTTTGAGAATCTTTATGGAGGAAAAGAAAAAGAAAAAAATTATCCAAGTGAAGATAAACTTTGCTGTCCAATTAAAGTAACTCTGAATTCCCCAGATGACTATAATTTATAAATGATTAAGTAAATCAAAGCATTATTATCATCTGAAAATCCAAATACTAAGAATCTCGAATTCGTGTTTATCAGTAAAATCCCTTAGCCAAGCCATGTTACACTGCTCTTTCTGGTTTCCTCTCAGCTTTTTCTTCATAAGTTATCTTAGATTTTTGTAGATGAACAAATGCATATGTAAGTCTCCATATCAGAGCCTATTGTGCCAAGAACTGAGACTAGAGAGGTTATGAGCCTAGGGGAGAACCTAATATTATTATTCTGCTAAAGAAACATGGCAATTGCTTTTGGGACCCTTTACCTCCCATTGGGTTGCCTCGTCCAAACTTAATATGAGAAGATGTGCCTAGTCTTTTTACAACTTGATATGCCATGTTTGGTGGGTATCCCTGGGAGGCCTGACCTTTTCTGAAGGAAAATGGAGGAGGAGTGAATCTGGGGGAGATGGGAAGTGATTGGGGGTGGGGAGACTGAGAGGAAAGGAGTGTCTTTTTTTTTTTTTTTTTTTTTTTGGTTTTTCGAGACAGGGTTCCTCTGTGTAGCTTTGCGCCTTTCCTGGAGCTCACTTGGTAGCCCAGGCTGGCCTCAAACTCACAGAGATCCACCTGGCTCTGCCTCCCGAGTGCTGGGATTAAAGGCGTGTGCCACCACCGCCCGGCAGGAGTGTCTTAATTAAGGTTTCTATTGCTGTGAAGAGACATCATGACCAGGGCGACTCTTACAAAGAAAATATTTAATTGGGGCTAGCTTACAGTTAAGAGGTTTAGTCCATTATCATCATGGCAGGAAACACGGCAGTACCCAGGCAGACATGGTGCTGGAGAAAGAGCCTAGAGTCTTACATCTTGATCCACAGGCAGCAGAAGGAGACTGTGTGCCACACTGGAAATAGCTTGAACATAGAAAACCTCAAAGCGAACTGCCACAGTTACATACTTCCTCCAAGTCTACACCTACTCCAATGAGGCCACACCTCCTAATAGTGCCACTCCCTACGGGCCAAGCATTCAAACACGTGAGTCTATGGGGACCGTTCCTATTCAAATAACCACAAAGAGGGAGGGGAAACTGTGATTGGATATAATATATGAGAGAAGGATAAATAAAATAAAAATAAAACATGGCAATAAATGACACTAATGAGATGTCACTATAACCATATCAGTGTGTTACATGCTAATGAGATGTTGCTCTAACCATAGATCAGTGTGTTACGTGCTAATGAGATGTCCCTCTAACCATAGATCAATGTGTTGTTTAACCCTCACCAGAGGCACCTTCTTCTTACAGTAGATGGGAATTAAAACTGACCCACAACTGGATGGTGTGCTGAGAGTTAGAGACCTTGGAGCTCTCAATTCTAAATGGGATGTCTTTCTCAAACCCCTCCCCTCGGGGATCAGGGAGCTATTTGGAAGAGAAGCCAGAGGTGATGGGTCCTGATTCTTCCAAACCCAGAGGACCATTGCACACATGAACTCACAGAGATTGTGGCAGCACACACAAGACCTGCAAAGGTCTAAGGCACGTAGGGTCCCAGTACTGAGGGATAGAAGTGGACACAGGGTCTCATCACTAACCTAGAAGCTACTTGCAATTTATACCCACTAGCAAAGGGAAAAACAGTTTTCTCCAAACACTTACTCCTACATCCATGAAAGGATCTACATAACTCATAGCAAAGGGCATGAAACTCACAGGATAAAACAGGCTCTAAAACCAGACCACTGCCTACGATAAGAAATCATGTATGTGTGCACACATGTGCATACAAACAAATACTCGAGCATGTTTGTGGAGGTCAGAGAACAACTTCTGGAGTTAGTTCTTCTACCTTGTTGAGGCAGAGTCTCTCCTGTTTCTGCTGCTGTGCTAGCTGGCCTGGGAGTTTCTGGACCATTCTTCTCTCTGTACCTCCCCACAGGAATGCTAGGATTATAGATGTGTACCACATTATCCCAAGCTTTTTAATTCCAGGAATCCAACTCAGGTTTCTAGCCTTGCAAAGCAAATGCTTTTGTTAACTGAGTCAACTCCAAATAAGAAACTTTTTGAAGAAAAACATTCAAGCCTCAATAGCTCATACAACTGTCTTGGAGTGAAGTTAAGGATGTAAATTAGAAAGGGACCACAAGAAAGCTTCTGGAATGTTCAATGTCCTTTCTATCAATCTGGATGCTAGTCATACAAGTAATTACTCATGTCATAATTAATCAAGCTGTAAACAGTACTGTTGCATATCCCAGTTTCCTTTCTGTTGCTGTAATAAAATATACTGACCCAAAGAAAATTTGGGATTTTGGCTTATACTTCCAGAGTACAGTTCCCTACTCGAGAAAATCAGGGCAAAAACTCAAGCAGGAGCTTGAAGCAGAAACCATGGAGGCACTTGTTAGCTGGCTTGTTCATGCTCATGCTCAGCTAGCTTCCTCATATAAGCCAAGACCACCTTCACAGGGAATGGTGCTGCCCACAGTGGGCTGAGCCCTTCTGCACCAATTAGCAATCAAGACAATCCCACAGACATACCCACAAGCCAAGCTCTTCTAGGCAATTCCTCAATGAAGGCTTTCCACTCAGATGACTCTAGACTGTGTCAAGTTGAAAATTAAAGCTAATTAGGGCAGTGACCTCAGCATTTTACATAAAACTTTAATTAAATTTATTGCATCTATTTAATTGGCTAACACGAATGATTATAAATGTTAATTGATTGAATTAAACAGCTCTTACCATTTTTCCTTAGTATGTATTAAAATAATTTTTATTGTTACATGTATACATATATATACATATGAATAACTATGTCAATACAATCTGTTGAGTCTGTTTACTGTTGCTTATATGTATATTTTTAGGGCTGACCACTTGGTATTAACTAACCATTAGGGAACTAGTCCCTGGCAACAACTAATTCTTCTCTCAGTAGTCATCAGTTGCTTATGGCTCTTCAACCAACATGAGCCCCGTGAGGTTTCTCCCATGCATGGTGGCAGGTCCATTAGTGTTGTCCTTGTTCGGGTCTTGTTAGGCTACTACATTGCTTTATGTCATGGGTGTGGCTTCCTTGTCATATATAGAAGATCCGATATCCAACGACTTCCGGTCCTCTGGTCTTACAATCTTTTCACCTCCCTCCACTATGTTAGCTGAGCACGGTGTAGAGGTCATGTTGTAGATTTATCATCTGGGCATGGGCACCCCCTGATCAGTTATGGGCATCCCATAATCAATCGCTTGTTCTCCAAATTTTGACCAATTCTGGCTTTCCAGAATGGCGTCCATTTGTTACAAAAAGAAACTTCTTTAAGGATGGAAGGAGCTGCACTTATCTGTGGGTATCAACAGATAAGTTTTAACTGACGAGATGTTGAACCCTGCATTCTAACTATTTGTCAGATTCAGAAAAGGACTTACTAGTGTTTGTTTGCTTGGCTCTTTTTGTTAGTGGGGAAGGTGTTTTTGACTGGTTTTAGTATTTTTAGGTGTCAATTTAGACCAAGGATTAAAACTGAAATGTGGAAGGAACCAGCACGTCCTACCACAAGTGAGAAGGACTCAGTGGCCAGAGCTCTGCTCTCAGATAATGACCCAGCAGGCTGGCACTGACATTCCAGGGCATTCAGTCACCAGGGGCTCCTCTCAGGCAATGGCGAAGGGGGGCAGCAGATCTCCCCAAAATGCTCACCACAGCTTTCAGCACGTGAACTCTTGATAGCCCTTGCTGCATAGGGACCCCCTCGAGGTCCTACACTTGACAGCCCTTACCGCATGGGGGACCCCCCTCCAGCTCCCAAGGGCTTGGGCAGAGAAAGGAACTGTCTCCAAGAGCTAATCCACTGCTGTACATGGGTGTGTATTCTTTATTGATGTCCTGGCCTCCCTTAAGGCTTTTAGCAACAAAGATCTTGGTTTTCTGTAAGTTTAAAGGTGAAAATGTATCTCCTGAAAATGTCAATTTGCTCAAGTGTTACAAACCTTTACAAGAACCAAAAGCCGGTCACAGTGGTGTCCCAGCAATTCTTGCTGCAAGAGGCATTGATTTAAGTCAAACTAACAAGCATCCTCTTATTTCATGCTGTACACAGCCCTGGGGAAACAGAGCCACAGACGTAGTTTCTAGATACTGTGGGCAGCAGGCAGAGTAAACGCCTGCCTCGGTGGTGTGACAGGGCAGGGCTTGGTTAGAAAAGTTACAGAGACTCCACAGAAGTTGGTTTTTGTTGTTGTTGTTGTTGTTGTTGTTTTAAAGATTTATTTATTTGTTATGTATACAATGTTCTGTTTTCATGTATCCCCACAGGCCAGAAGAGGGAGCCAGATCTCATTACAGATGGGTGTGAGCCACCATGTGGGTGCTGGGAATTGAACTCAGGACCTCTGGAAGAACAGCCAGTATTCTCAACCTCTGAGCCATCTCTCCAGCCCTGGCTGTTTCTTGATATGGCCCACATGTTGTAGGAATTGGATGTTAGGACATAAGACATAATGACGGAAATTAAACTCCCCCAGAGTCCTGACCCTCAGGAGAGCTGCTCTTGTTGGCCTCTTTGCCTCTCTCTTGCTTCCAGGTCTCCATTCAAGAAGCATTAGCTCATTATTGAGCCTGACATGGCTCATCCTCACAGCAAACCACCTGACTAGAACATCGGAAAGTGGCTTTGATGTGGAGATTGGCTCATTACCAACTTCATTATACAGGTACAGAGGTTAAAAGGCAGTAACTCACTTGCCCCTCCCCCGGGTTGCCATAGTGCCTAGGAGGCGCATATCCATCCTGGACCATCTGATTGTAGAACCCTGGCTCTTGCTTCCTTGGAGGATGAATTCTATTCCCAACTCCAAGGGTACCCAGAGTGATCCACGGGGGTCAGAGAATAGGTTGCAGGAAGACAGAGTGAGAAATGGCAGGGACTGAGGCTGGCAAGAACGAACGCTAAGTGCTTCCAAGAGAGCATTATACTGTAGCCTGAAAGTCAGGAAATCCCTTCTAGGATTGTTAAGCATGAAAATAGCACAACGTTTCATGTTCTCGAAAAATCCTACCACTACTGTGGAGGATAGAAAACAGCCTGGGCTGAGTAAGGAGACCTTTGACCAGAAGAGGCTTAAAGGAGACCTGTGAAAACTGGGTGGAATTAGTGGGCTGCATGGCTGAGGGAATGAATGTGGAAGTCGAAGGGAAAAAGAAGGCACTAGATTCAGTAAGCCAAGGGATGCTGCTGACAATAACCCTAGCCTGGGCTGTGCACTGCATCAGGACCAGGAGTATGAGGATGAACTCAGACTGGATTCTAACTTGATGCAGCATGAATTTTGTACCTCATGAATGGCCATGGATGGATCCATGACAGGACCACTTTGTACCTGCTGTCACTTGATGGAAGAGAGTGGATGATGAGGTATTATGTGGTCCTTTCAGGCTGACACAGTCATTCCACTTCAAGTAAACACACCACAGGCTTTAAAGATCATCTTGTCCTGGTGGTCTGAAGCCAGAGGATAAGACGACATTTGAGTTTTTAACATTATGTTTGTTTATTCTTTGAAAATTTCACACATTAAATGTATTTTGATTGTATTTGCCGCCACTACTCTCTCTTACGCCCCCTCACCCCCACTGAACACTTTCTTCCCAACAAGTTCCCCTCGTACCTCCTCGTCTGTTGGGTCTGTTGGGTGGGTCCACTGCATTGTGTAGTGTCACCTGCATGAACACGAGTGGGACATTGTTTACTGAAGCATGGGCAGCACACCAGTGGCCATGATGCTGAAGAAAACGACTCTGCTTCCCCCAAGAACCGTTAACTGTCATCAGTTGTTCAAGGAAGAGTGGAGCCTCCTGAGCCCTTCCCTGCTCCACAGCAGAATACCGTTAGGCCCAGTCGTGTGCAAGCCCTGGGCAGGTAAGTTCATGAGAACAATAGCCATGTCCTAGTTCTGTAGACCCCTGAAAGGCTGGAGACGGCATTTCATGACACCTTTCCCCATCCTTTGGCTTTTACATCCTTTGTTCCTTCCTCTTCCACAGTATTCCCTGAGACTTGAAATTGATAATATATTTACGTACCTTGTTTAGGCCTGAGCACCCAAGAGTCACTTAGCCTCAGAATTTTGATCAGTCACAAGTCTCTGCATTAACCGTCATTCACTACGAACAGAAGCGTCTCTGACCAAGGTGAGAGCAGCACTAACCTAGGGGTGACAGAAATATTTAGAAGGTAATGCGACACCATGGCCATTTAACAAATCAACAGTAGTAGTTTCCTCCATGAGGCCTATGACCTCCAGAGCCATGGGTTTTTGACCAGGCTTACAGTAGCAGGCATGAGTTCCTCCTGAAGAATGTGCCTCAAATTCCAACAGAAAGTATTTGGTTACTCCCATAACAGTCATACCATACCACTGTTGAACCAGTCAGCACACCTTGCCTGGCAAGTTGGTATTGCAGCACACAAGGCTCATAGGTGGGTAAGACTGGTGAAGACTTTTCTCCCCAAGCAGCTTGTATAGCATCTATGAAAACTAGCCAACAGAGAGAGATCTTTTGGCTTAGCTCCAGCTTGAGTTTCTATGTCCTGCAATCAAAGTGTGTGGTGTCTTTAGCAATAATGTCTTACCATCTGGTTCTTGTGAGCATTGAAGAGCAATGGCACCAGCCTGTGTTGATTTGGGAGTCTATGGAGCCTTCTTGACCAACAACTCACAGGAAGGTATCCCTCACCTGGCACTGGGACAGGGACTTTTGGGAACAATATTATTCACCATGCATCCTACCTTTGTTTAAACTATTATTATTATTATTATTACTTTTAATAGTAATAGTTTAATTGTTTAAACTATTATTATTATATCTTTAATCAGCTTACAAAATAATAGGTTTCCATGTAGCCTCTTCAGACAGCCTTCATTTTGTTTGTCTCTCCCCACCCTCCTCTTCCCCATCTTCCTGTCCCTAGCCCTACTCCAATCAGAAAAATGTCCGTCCAGTGATGATCAGAGGAGGAGGAGTGAGGAAGAAAAAAACCATTTATTTCCTTTCCTAAGGAAACCATCAACACAAACTTTGAGATTCCTTGATGCAAGCATGGCCACATCCAATCACGGTCTCTTAAATGGTTATTATCTTAAACCATATAGACTTGAGCTCTTTGTGTTATTAGAAAAAAAAATTAGACAGATTGTTGGCAGAACTGAATAGTAGCATTAATGCAGTTAAATCTAACTGAATAAGATACAACCGACCCTGATATTTTATGCAGAGTGACTCAGCCCACTGGAGTGGGGACCCCTATAACTGGAGCAGCTTTCAAAGCTTTGGGATGGCTCGGCATCATCTGTCAATGCAAGGGAATCTTGAATCACAGACTCAAAACAAGAATCCTGCACTGTGGATTTCTCAGCACTCCTGGCTTTAGACAGCTACAGTCCCATCTCACTGCTTGGCAGACCATTGAGCAACCAGCCTTTCAGGGGTTTGTCTCCATCCTGAGCATGCGCCATGAGAATCTTCCTGAATTGAGGCACTCATGTGGTCCTTGCCTTCCACACACACACAGTTAACGACTGCCCTGTGGTCTGTCTCAAATTTAAGCACAGACATTCCTCTGAAGCTGTCTTTGGCTCAGTCCGCTGAGAGAGCTGCAAAGTTGTCGTGGTCCTTTTGCTGTGGTAAAAAGAAGTCAGGGATTGATGATCCTTGCATCAACCAGCCTCCCAGGGAAAGAGTGTGACCTTGGAACAGAAAGATAGTTCCAGCCAAGGACATTTCCAGCAGGATACCCAGAAACTAGAGGTCGTCATTCTGCCTGAAGGGAAGCCTGGAGAGTGTACAACAGCATTAACTGTCACTCATGTGGGGGAGTCAGCAGCCCAAGAAGGGTGCTGCAGGCCCTTCGCTCCTTTGGGTCACTTTCCTGATCCTGCACTGTGCTCAAAAACAGGCAGGCAAATGACTTTCCCACAGGGTTCTGGCGGAGCCAGGAAGGCCTCAAAAATGACTGTCACCAGTCTGCCACCACTACCACCAAAGCCACAAGAGTCTTTTCCCAGTCTAGGGAAACATTTCTCCTTCCATCTCCTCTGAATGCCACCCTACCACTGCCTTGTCGCCCCTCTGCTAGACTGTTTTCCCCAAGGACAGAGGTTATCAAGCACAAGACACAAATCAATCAGAACCGCTCCACATCTCTTCTCCCCTCCCCACTACATCTCCCAGGACAGGGACATGGGGGAAGCTGTTTATCCAACTATCAGAAACACACAGAAAAAGAAGAAAAATTTAAATAAACGTGACCAGCTTTCTGCATGTCCTAAGCCGGACCGAGAGCTAGAGGCGGCAGCAATACAGGACCTTGCCAGCTCTCCGAGGAATCCCCAGCCCCCCCGCTCCTTCAGACCCCGGCAGCAGGGACTATCTTCACTTTATTCTGAGTGCTCTGACTATACAACAATCCACTGCCCAAGACACGGGAGACATGTACTCATGTGCAATGAAAGAACACCTTCCCTTCGCACACCCACCCCTGCTCTTCACTCCCCCCCAGCAGCCCCTTCCTGCCAGTCCCCCACGACAACTTGCCTTGCTAAGACTTATTAACTTTATGCCACCATCAGGGGCTATCACTACATCTACCAGAAGATGGGACTTGACAAGGCAGTTTTCAGGGGCTCTCGCCAGTTCCCCAACTTTAAGCCTTGACTTGCAGCTCCTTCTAGAAATTCTCTTGTGGTGTCTAACAGCTTTGGGTGAGTCCACTAGATCTCATTCTTGAAGAGTTTCTTGCTTTTTGCTGAATCTCGGCTCTCTTTGTATACCCTAGAGTATTTATAGAAAGATTCAAAGAACGGAAATGGATGCTTACAATTTATAGAAAGGCATGTCTCTAATAAAATAAGCACCAGGAAATACATCTCTACATTATCTAGTCACATCTAAACTGTGCTGAGAATGGGTGGGGGCCAGCCTTGCGGTGAAAGAGAGACCATCTTTCATACACTAAATCCCATAGACTGAGTCCTGTCAGAAATGCTTCCCAGTGGGTCCTGCCTCAGAGTACTTGGGACATGTTTTCTGAACTGTTGTGCACAAAATGAACGAAGTTCGAGGACACACTGGTTTGAGGGAGGGAAAGAGAGGGAAGAGAGGTTCGTGTAAGCCTCCTGTGAGCTTCTGTCTCGGCTCTCACAGGCCTCCTGCCTGACCTCGAGTTGCAATGCTTTCTTCTTCAGACCATCCTGTGTGTGGAACATAGAGTCCGGAGGTGCCAACGGCCTCTCCTGCTGAGACTTCAAGGGGTCTGTCCAGCTTGGGGCAGCCAAGTTCCAAGGTCCACCAAGGACCCAGAAGTCACCCAGTGAAGAACTGTCCGTAACCCTCTGCCCAGCGCACAGGGCAAGTTGATTGTATTTCTCCAATGAAAGGCTCCTCTGGTCTAAATCCACATTTTAGCTACAATTCACAGGGTGGGGGCCATGTAGAAAACTTTATTATTTGTGCTTCTCTTACGTGAGACCCACATCACAAAGAAAATGAAGTCCTTCTCTACAGTGAGGGATCAGAACTTCCAAGGACCCAAAGGAATTGCAGTGGTGGTGGGGTCCTGCTCTGTACACCATGTATCAAGGACAGGAGAGTCAGTAGGTGGGTTGAAGGAAGGAAACTTTTACTGATCCCTGCTGTGAGCCAGGCTCTCCTGCCAGTCCTTTCCAGTGCTACCTTGTCAAGTCCCAACAGCCAAGTGGACCTGTTGTTTCTCCAGAGAAGATTCCTGGAGGCTATCAGTCTGCCCAGGTTACACAGTCATCGGTGAAGGACACTGAACGGCTGGGTGTCCTAAAAGCACTGTGTCAAATGAACAGAGCCACCCACCTTCAGAAGTGGAGAGCTGAGCCGCTCGCTCCTGGGAAATAGGAAGAGACCACACAGAGGCTCGAACTCACAAGGGGAGAAGACTTCTGAAAAAGAAATCGGGCTAAGGACAGGGTGGCGGGATACAGAAGCCCTACCAGGGTAGACTCACTCCAAGAAGGCTGCATCACTGCCTGGAGAATATGGTAGGTGTGTGTAAGTCCCGGGGCAGTCAGTAGGCTGGACCAGGGTCACAGTCACTGGTCCAAGTTTGCTGCAAAACTTTGCTCCCTTCCTGTGAAGATTCTGCCCAGTGGGTTTTTTGGGGCAGTCAGAGATCAACTGTACACTGGCGCCACCTAGTGTTGACGTTACTTCGCTAGCTCTTTTACTGGCAGTCTGCTTTCACAGGACCTCTAAGGTGAACCCGGGAGAGCACAGTGATTTGCCCAAGGATAAGGCAGCAGTGGGACAAGAACTAGTTTCCTGATTACCAGTTCTAAAGAGCTCAACTGTGTGTTCAAAGCAGCCAGCGGGAAGGGGCCCTCCAAGATTCCTGCTCAGGCCTGTGGTCACCAGTGTTCATCTTCTACCTATTCAAAGTGAGTCCAGGGATTTGATTTTTAAAACAAAAACAAAGGTAGGCAGGAAGAGAAACTTCCCACAGCATCAGTGCACACAAATGCACACACACACACACACACACACACACACACACACACACACACCATAATTCTGGAAAGAGAAGGGGAACATAAGTGTGGAAGGGTGCAGTATTTTAATACAGATATCATTGCATACGTGAAAACCTATAAAATGAGTAAATTACTACGAAATTTGGTCCTTTAGCAATCACTGAAGACCATTTGCTAATGGGACACTCGTAGCTGAGCTGCTGTTCTCACGGGTGGAGGCTCCCTGCTCCATCCAATGGGTTCTCCTCTATAACCAGGATCTTCATA